AGAAGAATGAGACCGTTCGGAGGGTGATGAGATCTCACCCACCGAGATCAAGATAAAGATGCGAATAAATTTCGACTTGTAACGTTCGCGGTAGATCCTTGAACAGATTGGAATCATCCATCCCCTGGTTTCTTACGAGCCTGAAGTTCTCGTGGTCCAGAACCTTTTTCTGCAGCTCCACGGGGAAGGCCTTGCCATGCATGTATCGGCGCATTTGACCGAGTCGAAGAGCATGTCTTTGCTGCACTTCTTGGACTATTTACAGACGTGTGGTGATCTCCTACTCCAAGTACACTCGCTGATAAAGGATCTGTACACTCACCTGCCTCACTGCTATCCAGAAACCTGATTATAGATGCGATATTTCCGAACAGCGAGCCGTAAATGACTGCGGCGAAAAGCGCCTCAATAACACAATAGGTCCTTTCAGCAACTGTTTCTGTCTCGCGGAAAACAAAAAAGATAGACTTTTCGGCTGCCCAAAAAGAAATCAAAAATCTACAAGAGAAAGTAAATGAATTGTGTTCGGCAACATAGTTCACACGCGCACTCACCTGGATTGAAACGGGAGCTCCACCATTTCGGCCGTCTCGTATCCAATGCCAGCACGATTTATCCAAGCTAAGTGAGTATTCTCCATCGAGGATATAAAAAAGAATAGTGCTGAGGAGAGGTGCGCGAGATAAACGATTATGACGACGTTTTTTATCAGGCGGATGATTGAGTACTGTTGCGAGGCAGGCAGGGTGAGACGGGTGGAAAATCGGTGAGATGCAGAACAGAAAATTATGGACCTTGAAATGCGATACAGACGTGTAGGCCAGGAATGCGGACGTTTCCAAAAAATATCAGAAACTTTTTGAGGTTCACAATACGCAAAAGGCGGAGAATGGACCAGGCCCGGTACAAATCAAAAGAACTGACAACAGAGGTCATAGATCAGAAACAGTAGTTAGCTACAACAGTTTGGTTTTCACGTACCCATTTGGAACACATTGTGCCTCTCGCACGCCAGCAATTGCCAATGGAATAACGTCCCACGGGATAGCACACAAACAGTGGAGCCACCCCTTATCAGAAAAGTATCGGTAACGGACTGAAGGGAGTAAGAGTTGTTGAACGGTGATTCTTTTGAGGGCGGAGTCGACGCTTACTTTCTGATGGACTGGTAATGAGAATACTGAAGTTGCACAGAAAATCATGTTGAATATGATTTTGTTGGAGTGCACAGATATGACCTTACGCTTCGTGACTCACCCATATTCGCTGTGAAGGGCCAAAACCACGTTTAGATGGCACAATACACCGTTTAGCCTTGAAAAAGGCTAGCACTCACTCTTTACATTCAGTAATAGAAGTGATCAGCACGTCCAGCAAACCGGATATATCCACGATGAGAAAAAGGAATGCTGCGAACCCTCCACCTCCCGAAAGCTCGCATGGCCAAGCGAACTATGAAGTGATTACAGGTGAGCAAACTCGCACACCGGCTAGATAGCAATTACGTATTAGTGTGTACATACTCCAATAGGCAGCAACACCATGTTTGCGAATTGAGCTGCCAACACGATTGCATTCCAATACGCCAACCACGCTGCATCGATCGGTATGGCCCCTTTGTCCCGTCGAACTCTAGCATATGAGACCCGAACTGAAGTGGCGAGTTCTGCAATATGGGGTGCGACGGAAGACCCGAGGCGCGGGAGGGTTTGGGTGAATTTTGCGGAGAGGCCCGGGCCACCAGGGCCATGCAAAGGCGAGAGCATGGAGCCATTGCTAAGATTTGTAGCATCCAGCGCATCTGCACGCACGACCATTACAGCGTTGGCAGGTTGGTCTGGGGAGGGATTCCTTGGTGTCACTGGTGACCTCCGCCCGCTCGTTCCGTGTAAGCGTTAAGTCAGATCCTAGATGTAGGTGACCGATTGGACCAAATTGAATGGATTTCGTTCAATCGATGAAGCAGGTGTCGGAATGTAAAGTGCGGGAGTCCGCCTTGGGACCGCGAAGACGATCATCGCCCGTCAGGGCCAACGCCTTATCGACAAGAAACAGAACGTCTGCCAAATCTAATATACAGCGTGACATAATTAAATCACCAGTGCTTATCGGGAAAACACTTTTGTTTGAAGTTAACGGATTATTACGTTCAAAATTTCGCAGGAGGGCTGCCGGCAACTTCTCCTCACATCCCACGTATTCTTCAAATGTAGCTAACGCTAGTGTTTTATTGGCCTGGTCTTGGGAGTTCACCCACGCACTCTCTTTTCTTGCAACGGTATCACGCTCACTGTTGCGCCCACAACAAAACTATTGTGTATTTCAAGGTATCATGAAAGCAAATAAACGAACAGATTTCAATCAGTCCCACACAAACCGATCCCGCTTCTGATAATGGCTGGCTGAACTCCACTCCCACTTCGGTGCGGATCAACGGATCGAAAATGTCTCCACTTCTCCACCGATCCACACGATCCCGCTCACTTCCGGCCCAGCACTTTGTCTAGCCTCTTACCCGCCTTTCCCAACCTTCCACCCGTCCTCTCCACTTCACCTCCCATCTCACCCAGCAGCCTATTGTGCACCTCCAGCTCGTCCCCAATTGTACCTGCAACCTCCCTCTGTCTCCTCACCACTCCAGCCAAAACAGCCAGTGATTCGTCCTGCGATCGCATCATTTGCGTCTGCAGGCCGACAAGACTTTCTGTGGCCACCGGGCGGGTCGCGTTGGTTTCAAGCGCGGAGATATCAGCACCAAAACGGCGTTTAGAAGCAGTAGAAGCTGACGGGGAAGCGGAATTAGTGAGATTGGAGTCACCGAGGAGCTGAGATCGGACGGTCGCGTCAGCAGGGCGGTTCGGGTTGCTGGAAGCTGCGGGCGGGGAGGCGAGGCGAGTAAGAGCCGGAAGATCACTGCGAAGAGAGTCGAGGAGGTCGTAGCGGCGGGAGAGTTCGGCGGGGGTCAAGGTTTGCATCGCCGGGAGCTGCGGATTGGAGGATTAGCATGACCAATCATCTGAGCTTGTTTAAAGCACCGACTACATCGCAAGGAACGAACACCAATAAAACTGGCGGATATGCGTTCCTCTGTTCGAAGCCGACATGGTCTATTCGGTCATGGGCGAGCCAATCTTGTGTCAACCAGTTCCAAATCTCCTGATTCACCTAAAATTCACATAGCGTCGTGTCCTCAGCCTCCTTATGCAACATTGAAGGTAACCGAACAGTTTCGTTCTCTACGCCTGACCGACTCCCGATAATCCCCATCAGATTATTCGAGTGTGCTGGCTCCGAAAGATAAGGGCACCGTCCGACCGCATGCATTGCACTCACCGTGACACTGTTTCTCCCTGGACCATCTCGTGCCCCAGGTCCCTCTCGCATCCCTTTCTGTAATGACTTTAAGCTCTCCTCGAGCCTAACCAAACCTGCGTGATATGCCGCGAGCATTCTATGCGCATGCATATCCGACGGTGAGGGTGCATTTGTCGCCACAGAGGAAGAATACGTTGTTCGCGAGGTCGACTGAGGGGGCGGTCGGTTGGCGGCAATGCCGCGTATTTCTCGGGCGAGGGAGCGGAGGCGGTCATGTTCGTCGATCCAAGCGCGAGAGTCAAGTGGGGGTGGAGACGATGGGTTTGCAGCGGTGGTAGCCGGAGAAGCTGAGTAAGGAGGAGGAGCTCCTGCTGACGATGCATTGTTGGTGGCAACAGGCCCTCCGATAAGAGACGCAGTTGGAGGGGAGGCCGGAGTTGAGGCAGGTGGAGGGCCTTTGGAGGTGGTCGACACTGGCGAGCGGCCGGCTCGTTCGGGAATCTGCAGAAATTCTGCAACTTCCAGTGAGTCCCGCCATGCGGGGCAGGTTTGTATCACAGCGCGAAGCCAGGCCTCTAGCTGCTCCCGGCGGGACTCAAGAAAAGTTCTATCTTCAGATGCTGAGTTTCCGAACAAAGATGAAACGGCCTGGCCAAACGAAGCCGTTTTTGGGGGAAAGGAGACCGGAGGAGCATCGTCGGGAAAGGCAGAAGATAGGCGTGCGAACAAGGCGTGGAAGTCCGAATATCTCTTCTTGACGGTCCACGACCGGACTGGCCCAGCGATAAGAATGTGGAAGACATGGTGAGGTTTTGGCTCTGGGTTCAACGAGAGCGCAGGTATAGAGACGGACACCACAGGGAACGGCGAGAGGGACCCCGAAGAAACCATATCCAAACTGGTGCCAATCTTTTAAATTTTGCCGCCGCGATTGTCGTCCAGAGATGAACGCAAGTAGCGCGAGCTCTTCGAGATTCGCCGATGCTGTGGGTATTTGCACGTTCGCAGCAATCATTTGACCGCTGTTGGTCAAAAATGCCATGTGTTTAAAGCAAAATTTTATCAAGCTTACATAAATGATCAACGGGAGGAGTGATGAGTGTGAGCCACTATTTGGCCGTTCATGTAATGATGGCAGCGCTGGCATGAACAAGGTCGAGCTCCCCGGTGAGATAATATAGAGAGGAATATCCACGTGATTCTGATTAATCTGTGGCTGTTAGTTCGTACATGTGCTCTTCGGTAATTGTGGTTGCGGGTTATCTTTGAGTACATATTTCGCAAATTCTCTGTTGATCTAAGAACTATCACTACTCGACCGTTCCAATTCTTGCTTCCCATACTCATGTCTGCCCTCTCGGATCCAGGCTCGATAACCTGAGATGGGAGGTCCCAACAACGGACTGTGCCAGCCGCCAGTCTATCTCCCGATTCCGTTCAACTGTGGCAGTATAAAAAGTGGGGGTGCAAGAGTGCCGTCCTCGTTACGTTTGACCGTGCACTCTCCCATTGACCCGAAGTTGCTGTGACTGGGTCGGTGTGAAAAGTTGAGCAACCTGTACATAGAGTGAAGATGTTGGCCACCGCAAACTAATTATTTTTCCTGGATGTTTGTCTTATCAGTCAGCAACAAATGACACGAGCCGGGATGTTAAAGTACAGAAAAGAGAAAGAAAGAAAAAGAGGGGGACGACCGGGACTCGAACCCGGAGCCTGCCGCACCCGAAGCGGCAATTATACCCTTAAACCATCATCCCGTGCTTGCAGGAAAGGAAAAATTGGGTATATAAATCATCAAATTTTGTTTTGAAGTTCACGTTTTGTTTCGAATTCTGCAAATCACACAAAAGGCAAAGCAGCTGGGAACGGTGTAAGCGTTACTATAGCACCCGGTACTCGGTTGATAGGCGAGCGCGTGCAGTTTGTAATAGCATACTTGCATCTGCAAACTTCTGGAATCGGGGTCGTGGTACTACTCTCGTCGTCATCTCATTTTATTTGTAATGAAGTGTATTATTTTTTTCGTTGCAACATGCAGTGGGACGGTGGTTCACAGTAAGGGCATAATTGTCGGAACGGTGGGGGTCGTCCCAAGATTTGTCATGCTCCGCTTTGAAACTATTGTTCAAGGAGGAATATCCCCGCTATCAAATCAAGTTTTAAACTCTTTGGATATCCCAAAGTGTACCATGAGATCCTCCAAACACCATCAAGACACCTCCCCGCCAACCCACGCCTCCTCGACACATCGAATCTCGCCATAATCTGTCGACATAATCTCTCCTGCAGACATATTGGCACTCAAGCTCGCACTCCACGAGACTTTCCCACCTGGTGCGACTCGGAGTCCCAAGCGAACGGCTTCCCATTGAGTTCGGCCCAACACTTTGTATTTGAGGGAGGCTTCAGTGGTACGGTATGACGGGAAGAAAATTGGTGCACCTGGTGGACAGGAAGGGGGCGTGCGGAGGATGGAGATGGAAGTTGGGGGAGATGAAGTCTGGGAGTCAGAGCTGGGGGCAGAGGGAGGACTTGCGGCGAGAAGCATGGCTTGGGATTCGACGCCACGGATTCTGAAAGGCATACCGACGAAAATGGTTGGACCCGTCGACGTCACATTGATACCGGGAGTTGTCAGTTACTTCGCCGGTTTGAGATTGCACACAGCAACCACGTTCCGCGTTTCCAGAAGCTCGCTTGCTGTCATGTACGGCACGAGGCCGGAGCATACGTTTCTTTCGGTGGTGGTGATAGCGGGGGGAAAATTGTGTGAATCAACTCGTCGTCACCTGCTTTCGACGAGCAATCATTAAGACCCACCTGGGTCCATCAGGATCACCAACATCGAGCTTCAAAAGATATATCGAGTCGGCGTTGGGATGCCGGTCGACGGTCATGATTCGTCCCACGCGCAAATCGAGAAGTTCGGGAGTTGGGGATAGGGCTTTGGGAGCCGATTTCTTCTTGAAAGGCGAGGATGGGGAGGCGATAGTCGAAGAAAATCGACATGCAGTTAGAGAGGCCAAAGAGGTGGCTGTCCGCAACTGCCATTCGGAGTGGGAGCATGATCGAGATAACGACTGCGAGCACGCGAATTGTGTGGAGCCAACAAAAGGCTTGGCCGGAGATGGTTTGAAACGCGAGATCAAAGCGGGAATGAAAATTCGTGGTGGCATCGGCGATGCTTGGTGTTGCAAGGGAACGGCGTGCCGTTTCCCTTGTGAGCCCGCATCCCACTTCAATTACCATGTTCATTATAATTGATTAAGTATCCATGAAAAACGTACTCCCCACTCCATACTACTCCAGGCCTTTTGTCCCCATCAATCCTGGAAATGGTGCAGTGGTGCTCGGCATGGATGGTGCGGTTTTGTATTGCTAAACCATGAAGATGGCAAAAGATTTCTTTTGCTTATTTTTTTTTTTCGATGGGATTCCTTTGCTAAATCTTGCTCATTTTAGTGCTCAGGGTGGGTGCGATACATGATGGGGGACGATCAGAATCATGATGCAGAATCACATGGCTTTCGGAGAAATGTTGTGATAGCGGCAACAGCGTTGCGAATATTCGGTATTCGGACCCAAATCAAAGATTTGTACCGCCCAATACAGCTCTTGGTCATTCTGAAGGTAAGTAGCTGAAGCAAGAGCATTCTTGCATTTCCCGTGGATATTATTCCAACGCAATAGGCACCGTGTCCGGCTGCAGGTGACGGCGTATTCGTTCTCCGATTCCTCCCATCTACAGCCACCCACAACCCGAGTGAATAGCAATGTCGACTCCCTACGACAGAATTGAACAGGTGACGGCGCACCTGAAGTCCGGGAAGACGTCAAAGGGCGAGCTCGGTGAATATCAAAGAACTTCTGCGAGCGTTTGAAACTCTGATTCATTGTTCCAAACACACGCCCATCCTCCCTCCCTACGTTTCCAACAAACTCCTTTTATATTGAATTGCTCTCTTCGCCATTCATAGGTACCATCGGTTCCAAGCGCCCCGATGACATCGTGATTGTGTCGGCTCTCCGCACTCCCATCACTCGCGCTCGCAAAGGCCCGCTCGCTGCCGTGCTACCAGAAGAGTACCTCGCTCCACTTTTGGCAGCTGTTTGTGACAAGGTCGGACTCGACAAGAAGCTTGTCGATGACATTCAAGTGGGAAACGTGCTACCCGCAGGGGGTGGAGCCAATGCGGCGAGAGTTGCCATGTTGGCTGCCGGGTAAGTAATCGAACCCGGCTTCAATTTTTATGATTTGTCGGAGCTCCGCTGTATTTCCATAGTCTATATGGTCTACAAGTGTCTTCAGGGGGTGCTGGAAGACGTGCCGCCCTATTGAAGGTGATACTTTGACCGACCGTCTTCACATTTTCAAGGTTTCCCGTCGAAACCGCAGTTTCAACTGTCAACAGACAATGCAGTTCGGGTCTTCAGGCTGTTGCAAGTGAGAATGCGAGGAAAACAACAACTGAGATATTCAAGGCCTCACCGAATCTCCCTAGCTATCGCGTCGTCCATTAAAGCCGGCTACATCGACATCGGCATCGGAGCCGGTGTTGAGTCCATGACCAAATTCTACGGCGCTGGTGCAATGTCCGAAATCTCGGAGAACCTTGTCGAACAAGACCCCGTCATCGCAGATGTCTTGATCCCCATGGGAATAACCTCGGAGAACGTTGCTGAGGACTATAAAATTACCAGAGTGGAACAGGACACGTTCTCGGCGGAATCCCACAGGAGGGCCGCAGAGGCTTGGAAAAACGGGTGGTTTGATGAGGAGGTACTTAAAATTACGGTCAAGGGGGAGAACGGGGAGGTAGTGGCAGACAGAGACGACGGCATCCGTGAGGGAACGACTGCACAGACCCTGGGAAAGTTGAAACCCGCCTTCTCCGAAGATGGATCAACCACCGCCGGCAACGCCTCGCAAGTATCGGATGGTGCAGCGGCCGTCTTGTTAATGAGGCGGTCCACCGCAGAGAAACTTAAGCTTCCGATTCAGGGCAAGTTTGTCACATTTGCAGTCGTCGGTGTGCCCCCACGGTGAGTTTTTGTCGGTTCGAAGTGAATGCACAAACAAAGGCAGCTGAACGTTTTCTCACCACAACTCCGTTCCTGTGCGAAGTGTTATGGGTATAGGTCCTGTAAGTTTAGTGGGATTCCCCGGAAGCGCTTCCCTGAATTTCGATTTTCACGCGCAATATCTCGGTAAGGCCTACGCTATTCCCGTCGCTCTCCACAAAGCCGGCCTCAAGAAAGAGCAAGTCGATGGTGAGTGAACTATGTCAACCCGGACTCCGACACCGACGCGCTGACAAATGTTTCGGTCCGTGATCCTACCCATCCGTCAGTCTTGTGGGTCTTTCAAGTCGACCCTTTAAACAACTTTGTCTTCATTCTTCTTGTCACTCCCCCAACAGTGAAATCAATGAGGCTTTTGCCTCCCAGGCTGTCTACACGGTCAAGAAGCTCGGCCTGGACCCGAAAAAGGTGAACCCCAAGGGCGGTGCGATAGGTACGTTGGCGATGGGACTGTGAACTCCCAACTCTTGTACAAGCGACTCAAACTGCTCCCGAACCTAGCTTTTGGCCACCCTCTCGGTGCGACCGGTGCTCGTCAGATTTCAACTCTTTTGACAGAGCTCAAGAGGACCGGTAAGAAGATCGGTGTCACCAGCATGTGTATCGGTACCGGTGAGTGAGAGTGTGGCTCGAGATTGGATACTGTGTCCCGTAGTTTTGATTCAATATTTTGTCGGGGCCAGGAATGGGAGCAGCAGCTGTCTTTGAGCGAGAATAGCGATGACGCTGAACACATGTCAGTAGTAGAAAACTCTGCATAAATTCACGCCATACATCTAGCGCAGCATATGCAGCTAGTTCTACCAAAGATGTCCGCAGTTTCTTTGCTGAATTGCAGTCGCCAAGTCCACTTTACCAGTCAGTATTCAGATTCGTGCAGACAAACCTCCCTCTCCTCCCAAGGGAACGAACCGCATTTTCCATCTGAAATTGCCGGGCAATAGCTGATAAGGCGGTAAAACGTCGGGGCCGCAACTATTGGTCCCGATTCCATTGTGGCGATGGTCGAGGTTGAGAATGTAAGTGTCTGTCTCCAAAGACGGTCCCCTGGACACTCTCTGGCGTGACTTTTCGTTCAAAATTTTCTGTAAATCCGTTGGATGCTTTGCATCCATCACCTCCTTGTCAGTAAATCGTGATACAGAAAAGTCGAAAGGTGAAGAGGCACCCTCCACCCTGAACCCACTACCGGTTGCTGGGTCGCGAATCTGGACCCATCGCGTTCCATGACGGTTACCGGCTTCTTGGGGGGATGTCATTTCGAAACGCCCGTCGAGTGCGGTGACGGAGTCTGCAGAATGGGCACCGAGGCGGGCAGAGTTACCGACGTCTACGTACGCATCGTGGGGTCCTAGACCGTACCACGCGATTGACTGGAGCGAGTTGGGGATACGGGCGTTAAGGCCGATTCTGTTGATTTCGTGAATGGTGAGACAGTCTGCATGCCGTGGCCAATCATGGTCCACCTCGTGCTCACTTACTTCGGAATCATTGTTTTCACGACGTTGTCAATGAATTCTGCATCAACACCAAGTTCAATCACTCCATTCGAAAAGATCTCCCAGTTGTAAACCACCTTGACAGCCCAATCCCACACCGGAGGGCCCACCCTGCTCACAATCTTCACGCGAACAGAGTCCAACGCCTGACCTTCTTTCCGCGCCTTCACCGTCTC